TTTTAAGCAGAGGTACCACTTCGTCCATAGATCAATTATATTGACTCATAGTTTCTCTAATAAAAATAAATTGAATAAACAAAGGAGTACAAGCATAGATTTCAGTGAGCATAGACCAACTAAGTTGTAGAAAAAAATGAATAACAACCGTGCAGTGTACGAAGTAGCTGCATGGAATTGCGGTGAGAATCAATGTGGGAAAAGAACGAGAATAGTTTTGAACCAGTAGAAATTTTTAAAGGAATAATAAATTGTTAATTTTATTATATGTAGTGGTAGTACTACGTAAATTAAAATTTGGGATACCCGGTCAAAGGACGAGATATAATTATTTAAAATAATTCTACTACTTTAATATTTGGCCCCTATTTAACTGTCTACCCGATCCTAGACATTTGCACTTCTACGGGGTCCACTACGTTATCTNACAAAGGTTAATATGGTCAATTTCATTGCTGATTAATGCTAAAAGGTAGATTTCTTAATCTGTGTGAAAACAGCTAAAAAATTACTTATTTTGGACCGAAGGGAGTATGCTTTAGTGATTATTAGCTTGTTATAGCTACCATTTACTAAATTACTTCCTATAGCTATGTTTTCAATTGTTATAAACTGTATTCGATGTACTTTTGCTACTGTATTCATGTACTAAATTACATCCTATAGCTATGTTTTCAGTTGTTATAAACTGTATTCGGTGTACTTTTGCTACTGTATTCATGAATACAGTAGCAAAACTCAGCGGAAAATAGGGGAGTCCAGCTAAGCAGAGAATGTATTCGACTGTATTCGCGAGCAGTATCCGTGAATACAGTAACGGAATTTGCGAAAAAAAGTTATTCAGCTGTTTAAAAACGGTAAGTGAATCAATCAACGTGATAGACTTATAATATAACTCAACAAACTCAATTATAACACACAAAATTTATATTTCCAGTTATAGAAAAGATTCTCAACCGAAAAATACCCCGAAAACAGAGCAATCTTCAGAGATTCAATCCATCATATTTTTAGTGGTATATTTACAAAAATATTTTTTAGTGGTATATTTACAAATAGATTTATATATTGAAATTATATAATTACATCAAATACATGAAGTATAGCAGGTCATCTATATTGCAAACCTATATGAATACATACTACAAATATATTTGAATACATATATACATCTGAATATAAAAATTATATTAATTAAAAAAATATAGGAATATATTCATGGAATGCGGCGAGACAATGAATACAATGAAATACATGAAATACAGCGACATACATTGAAATACAATGAAAAAAAGGTAAGAGACTCTCAAGTTCCTCAGCCCCAAACTCCGTCCTCAATCCACTGATATCCAGGCCGCGCGCCATGTGGGGCGTCCCCGCCGGTTGAATGAAGACAGTTGTTGAAGAAGCACCAATTTAAAGGATCAAACGAAAACTAGAGACAGAACTTCTTCAGATTTGAAAAGGCAATGCAAAATCTAAGAAAAATTTAGAATGTGTAATACAGTTGTGTGAAAGAAATCGCTGGCCGGAGGAGAGGGTTAGGTGTGACACAACAAGGAAGGGGGGAAGTGGTCGCCGGCCGGATTTGTCGTTGGCGGAACACAGCCCCTTCTAAGTTTTCTAAAAGCAAGGGAGGAAAAAACTAGGGAAAAAAGAGAAGAAAGAGGGAAGAGAAAGGAGGAGAGAGGGAAGAGAGAGGGAGAGAGAAAAATAATACACAGCGTATTTAATGGCTTAAAGGTAGGAATTGACAAATAGATATTTTGCTATAAAATTTAAAAGGTAGCTATGGGAGATAATTTTTAAAAGGGTATTTATTTATAATAAATAAGGTATCAACCTTTGCTATAGGAGGTAAAATCAATTTGAGCCCAAACCCATTTGATCCGCCCAAAGGTTAGGCTAGTCATTGACCCGTCCATTATTTAAATCAGCCCATCTTGACCCAAATTGTATATATTCCCTCCTTATAAGGCTCCACCCCATTATTAGTGCCTTCAATTAAGGGATTCAATTAAATCATTTCTCTTTTTTCCCCTCCTCTCATCTTTTTCTTTGTTTCCCTAAACTTTTCAATTTGTTCGGTTAATACACTCATCCACAAATTGATCCATTTGAAGACCCAAAATACATATGATTCTCAAGCAAACATACATACGATTTCGAATATTAAGATTTTGTGAAGGAAATTGGTTAAGTATAGAGTTGGTTTTAGAAGAAGAAGTTGCAGGAATCGTATGATAATTGTATAATAGTTTTATTAAAATTTTATCAGAATTGTATATGGTACATTAATACACCGATATGTTATATATGACAGTAACAAAAGAAAGAAAAAAAGTCTTTTTTTTATAATTAAATAATTCATAAGAAAATAATATACGTTAACTAAAGCTTGGTAAAAGTTGGGCAGTTTTGGCTACGACCCAAGTTTAGTCCAACTCGACAGCACAAGTTACTTTTGGACGGGTCATTAACCCGCCTATTTATTGACTCAACTCATTTAAAACCGCCCAAATCGGCCCGACCTGCCCTTTTGACACCCCTAGAAAGTAAAAATAGGACATGCTAGCCAGTTGTCAGACTAATAATTGAAAAATTGCCAGCGTTTACAGAGTCATCGAAAAATAGCTACTATTTTGCTGTAACACGGGAAAGTTCCAGCATAATATACTAGAGATTGAAGCGGATGTGTATGAACTTTCAGTATATTATGTTGGAACTCCAGCATATTATGCTGGAACTCCAGTATATTATGCTGGAACTCCAGTATATTATGCTGGAAGTTCACATGTAAAAAGTTCGAACTCCAGTATATAATGCTGGAATATTTTCCGGATTTCGAACAGTGTTTTCGTTCAGATTTATTTTTACATGAAAATTGACAAAATTTCGATTACTTTTAAAACTGTGAATATTTTTCAATTATTACTTGTAATTTTTTTTGGCTATTTTTGAATTTGACACCTAAAAACTGTGGTCACTTACATGACATTTTAGTAATACAAATTTGAATTAATCAGACGAATAAACTTTGAATATAAGATGGAGTCCTTTTGAATGAATAATGGAACATGTAGCATCTTTAGTTTAAAAGTTACTCACATGAGAGCTGACAATATCCCAATCCTTTGTCACGTGCTTAGTCGGACCCCACACATCTATCATCTAACTAGTGCTTCAAAGCCAACTAGTAGAGAGGATGCTCTCTCATAATTTTTACAAAAAACAAAAGACAATAAACAGAAAAAGTAAAAATGAATGCTGGGAGAAAAAGGTAGGCGAATGATTGGTTCTTAATGTAAATTAACTTTATCCATTTTTAACTGCTACTATTCACCTTGGGATTTGTAATATTATCCCGCCCAATAACATTTCTTATTAGAAATTCCCATTTCCTATTCAATAAATAAATAAAAAAGGAAACAAAAGAAAGAAGAAAAGCAAAAAGATTATGCTACAGGAATTGCACTAAGTGACTGATGCATCTTTTGAGGATTTTACCACTTTTCGATTTTATGTATATTAGTTGGAAATTCTAATTTATTTAACAGAATACTTTACAACAATTGTTGCAAAAAGAACTATGCAGTCATTTTTTTGGCACGAATTGACTTTATATATTTGAACTATCTCTCATTAAATTTTCTAATGAATGGGGTCAATGCTTAGTTGAACGAGTTGAACAAATACATAATATATGTCTTTTAAAATTGTTAACTAAGTATTACTTTATCGTAGATCAATAGTACACAATTTTACTTTTATAACTAACCATGACAAACTAATGTAAATTGGTATAAATAGTATGCACGAGTAGGTTATTTTTCGAGCAAAGTGAATTATCTTGTACTACTAGAATTTTTTCTTCTTTTTGCTGGTGTATGAGAATTTTCTGCAGACTTCGTGCTTGTAGAAATAATTATCCAATAATCAAAGATATAAAAAAAGACCTTAAATTTTGTGCAAAATGCCGAATTTAGTGGTGAGATTGGGAGTCTTTATCCAAAATGTAAATGAAGATAAAAAAATGAAACTTCCTATGTGGATATAATCATGACCAAGCATTTTGAACAGGGTTGAGCTGTAATGTTCGTGCTTAAACGTGGGTTAAGGAATATATTAACATGAGGTTAGGGAGGTAAGAAAGTACTAATAATAGAGTTAAAAAATTGTGAAAATAGCAGTACCCAGGAAACAGCTAACTTAAAATAATTATTTCAAAAAATTCAAGGGGCAAAGCGCAATTCACGAGGAATTAAAAAAAGTGGATTAAAAAAAACGTAGAAAGAGAAGGGAAAAAAAAAAAAAAAAAGGAGCAGGGGAATCCGGCTGTAAAATTGGACACTAATGGTGGAGTCACGGCGACAAAACCTGCTAGATCGATTCTTAAGGGAAAAGGGGTTGTATCATTTAATTATCTTTCTTAATCCACCTATTTTTAACTTCATTAATTTCCCTCTTTTGCTTTATTTAGTTAATAATTACGGTACGTACAATAATTATCTTTACTTGTACCAAAAAAAAAAAAAAATTGGATAAATCCATACAGATTCCGCATTTAATTATTCGCACAGCACATGACAGCCGTGACATCCATTTTTGGCACCTTTAGTATTCAATTTATAACTTTTAAATAAGGTTTTAAACTCAAAAGTAATCCTTTACTTACCACTAAGAAAAAGTAATTTTCGACATCATTACCACATCAAAACTACATTATCATTGTGATAAACTTTCAAATTTGCTCAATTTCAGAAATTAATATAAGATGTGAGTTATACACTATAATTCAATTATTGTTCCCAAAAGAAGTAAAGAAAAGTAAAATACAAGCGTGTTAAGGTAAAACGGGACAACTTTACAGAAGTAGCAAGATACTGCATTTTTTTATTTATTTAAAATATACAGAATTGTATAAGGAAAAATTAGAAAAAAAATGATAATTGTGAAATTACAGATAAGACCTTTATTACAGTATGAAAACCCCTCTGACCCGGACCTCTTACTTTCAGCTCTTCAGCACTTGTCTGTCCTCTTCACACTCAATTCCTTCATTCTCTCTTCCTTTTTCTCAGCTTTCTATTTAACTACTCTCAAAGGAACCGTTACTTTGCTTCTCTTAAGCGTCTTACTCTCTCTATTCTGAGACTCTCTCACACTTTTTTCCTCCCAATGGAAGCATCGGATTTCTTCGTCAGCGGCTATTTCTCAAATGCCGGAGACGAACAGAGTCCGAATAACAACAATAATAATAATAATTTCACTGTTGATGACCTGTTAGATTTCTCTAAGGAAGATGAAGTCATGACCGACGCTTTTTTTGATAGTATCACCGGTAATTCTGCTGATTCCTCCACTGTTACCGTCGTCGATAGCTGTAATTCCTCTGTTTCCGGTGAAAATGGCCATTTCAACGGTAACCTCAGCTGCCGCAGCTTCACCGACGCTCCGTTCCCCACCAGCGAACTCTGCGTTCCGGTAATTACTCTCCTTTTTACACTTCTTGGTGAAAAAACAATTATTTCTAAATTTGGTCTTATTTTTCCGCCAATTTCGTACTCAAATTATTACGTGGTAGTAATTAATTCGGTTCTCCGTTTGGATATACCATAATAATGTCTGAATATTTGTTAACAAATTAACCACGTGTCAAATTCAAAGAATTCATGCACCATTTACATAGCAGAGGCCAAATGCATACAATTTGTTTTCACTCTAAGCAATAGTTTGTTACTCGTTTGCTTTCTGGTTGATAATTATGAAAATTTAGTACAATAAACTGAGATTCTTTTTGTTTTTGGCTTTTAACAGTATGATGACTTGGCTGAGCTTGAATGGCTGTCCAATTTCGTGGAGGAATCATTCTCAAGTGACGATGTTCAAAACCTTCAGCTCATCCCTGTAACAAACATTAATTCCGCCGCAAACAACACCACCGACAGTTCCTCCTCCGCTTCCACTATTTCCGCCGGAACTAACTCACCACCGGCTTTTCCCGCCGACACTTCTGTTCCTGGCAAAGCTCGCAGCAAGCGCTCACGCGCCGCCCCCTGCGACTGGTCCTCGCGCCTCCAGCTGCTCCTCTCCCCTACCACGTCATCATCTGAGAGCAACAACTCCGCTGCCAATAACAACACTTCAGCGACGGTCAAAGCCACCAAAGCACCGTCGAAGAAGCGAGAGAGCATCGAAACGCCGGGACGCAAATGCCTGCACTGTGCTTCTGAAAAAACACCGCAGTGGCGCACAGGACCTATGGGTCCGAAGACTCTGTGCAATGCATGTGGAGTCAGGTACAAGTCCGGCAGATTAGTGCCGGAGTATCGGCCGGCGGCGAGCCCGACGTTTGTGTCGGCGAAGCACTCCAATTCTCATCGGAAGGTTCTGGAACTTCGGAGGCAAAAGGAATTCCAAAGACACCCAGCACATCATCATCAACATCAGTTGATTAGTCAAACCTCAATTTTCGGTGTATCAAACGGTGGTGATGATTTCTTGCTTCATCATCATCAAAACTGTGGTCCTAATTTCAGGCACCTCATTTAGTACGGATCAGCTAGTGTAGGGGATAATTTTCCACGTTTAAAGTTTGAGTTAATTAACATCCATTTTCCTAATTATCTAGTCTTAGAAATTTGAATATCAGGATTAAGAAAAAAGGGGGTCCTAGCAAACCCAGAGGAACCCCAAAAAAAGAAATAGATTAAACGCAAATTAGACATTAGTCCTCTGTAATGTTTCTCCTAATTTTGGTATTAATTCATAGATTTTTTGAAGACTAGTTTTGTTGAAATTTTTAATTTCATTATCTTATTTGCTTTATATTTGGTCACTAATTAATTTCATACTATCAAGTGGACAAAACATATTACTAGCATTATATTAATTTACAGTTTAAGTGATGAAGTGGTGCAAAATTGAGCGTTAATTGATCCTGATAGTGAATAAACGTGTTATTTCGAAAATTCAATGTGTGACCCTTATATATCTTGCTTGCTTTGAATTTGGCAACTATGTCAGTACTAACTCATTTTAATGAGGTTAACTTTGATACACTGATAACGTAAAAGAATTTTTATACTGTTATGTTACATAAAAGATAACTACAAATAACAATTCATAAAAAGCAAAAGTAATGACTTAAAAATTTAAGACGATGCCTGCTATGTGCAATATGTTAAATTATAGTACTAAAAAGAATATTGTTATTATTATGTATATAGGTTAATTCCTACTATTTGGAGAAAAGTGAAGGAATTTGATGTTATTCGCTTGTTGTCAAAGTAAAGAGATGAAAAATATCTGTAATAAGCTGGAAAGTGGGTAGGGGAATGATAGGGGCAATGGTGCATATTGCCTTTGTCAATGCCATGGGCCAAGGGTGATGGGTGGTGCCATAACTTGAAAACTTGAAAGGTGAGGAATTTGCACATGGAGGGCTCACGGACTCAACTATAACCTGGGTCCTTTCCTGTCTCTACTTCCATTACTATTTCAAAAGTTAGCATCTCCTTTTCTCAGTTTTGGAAAAGTAAAATAAATACTTGATTTTGGTAGTGTATCTTTTCAAGGCTAGTGCAATTAAATAATTCTAAATAGGTGTTCGGGTTGAAATTGGAAAACAAAAGTATTTGTTAGTTGCATTTATGCTTGGAAATGAATTTTACTTGAAGAAGTTAATTATTTTGTTTGAGTAAAAAACATTATTTCACTTGATGGACTCAAATATATATTTTTCTTGACGACCTCCGACAGAAACAACAACAAACAACGACCCAGTAAAATCCCACTAGTGGGGTCTGGGGAAGGTAGTGTGTGCGCAGACCCTACCCCTACCCCGAGGGAGTAGCGAGGTTGTTTCCGGAAGACCCTTGGCTCAAGAAGACGAAAAGAGACAATATTAAAAGGATAGAAAGAATACTAGAATTTTTTGTATACAAAGGACCAGAGGTCTCTATTAAAAGGATTAACAGTAGAAGGAAAAAAGAAAAAATCCGAAAGTCCAATCTCAGTATTCCATTTTCATCATTTTAGCCATGTATCTATTCCAGAAATTTATCTTTGACTAAAACTTTATATCTATTGTTACTCCTTGAGTTTTGAATACTTTAGTCTTACAACGCTCTAATTAAACACAATTATTGATACCTATACATAAGTATATTACTAAATTGATCCAAAATAACATGGCATTAATTTGATTAATAATTTTAAGCAGAGGTACCACTTCGTCCATAGATCAATTATATTGACTCATAGTTTCTCTAATAAAAATAAATTGAATAAACAAAGGAGTACAAGCATAGATTTCAGTGAGCATAGACCAACTAAGTTGTAGAAAAAAATGAATAACAACCGTGCAGTGTACGAAGTAGCTGCATGGAATTGCGGTGAGAATCAATGTGGGAAAAGAACGAGAATAGTTTTGAACCAGTAGAAATTTTTAAAGGAATAATAAATTGTTAATTTTATTATATGTAGTGGTAGTACTACGTAAATTAAAATTTGGGATACCCGGTCAAAGGACGAGATATAATTATTTAAAATAATTCTACTACTTTAATATTTGGCCCCTATTTAACTGTCTACCCGATCCTAGACATTTGCACTTCTACGGGGTCCACTACGTTATCTCACCTCAATCTCATTATTTGCTCCAAGGTTCCAACTATTTTAAGAGATACTATGATAGCCTTGGATATAGAATTGGTTAAAATTTGAAAAAATGAGTTTTTGAATATGAAATGAAAAATAATTTTTGAAATGGAAATTGCACTTGGACATGTATTTTAATTGAAATTTTTTGAAGCATTGTGAATAAAAAAAACTTCAAAAACTACTCTAGAGCTGTTTTTGGGATTTGAAGATTTTATTTTCAAGATATGCCAAAAAATGATTAAAATTTATAAACAAGCATATATTTGAAAATAAAATTTGGAAAAAAACTCCCAAATTTTATATCCAAAGATTCCATAAAAATGATATGACATTTAAAATTACAAAATTTAAGTAATATTTTAGTATATTATACATTACGTTAATTCAGACACATAAAATAAAATGAAGATTGTACAACTTTAATATACATGTGCAAAAATGCAGGTTGGAGGATGTTAAGGCAGCACAATTCTTCTTTGCATTGTTTGACTCCTTTTAGGTGAAATCGACACAAAAATTACAACTATTTGGAAAAACATAAACTACTAAATAAGGATATAGGATCGAGCTGTAATATAAGTATTTCCCGGAATTTTATTACTCATTTATGATTTAATACTCTTTGTTTGCAGGTGATTTGTGCAATATTATTGAGTTTGATGGTATAAAATTCTCCTAATACTCCTCTACAATTCTATTTATAATACCTATAAGATTGAGTTCTTTCAATTAAAATATAATTCTAACATTCCCACTCCCACAGCTCTAAAGGACCGCTCGGGTGTCGGTGCATAAAGTATCTTGTATTCACGCAGAATTCGAAGAAAGACTGCATCTTAAGAGTATGATACAAACAACCTACTCTAATACGAGCATTACTGTGGTCGGTCTCGCTGCTCAAACTCGTGACCTATAGTTCAAACGAAGATAACTTTACTGTTACCCTACAACTCTATCTAGATGTAATGTATATCGGATAGTACGTGAAGAAACAAGAAAAATGAAGTGAAAGAGACAAGTATGGGAGCCAACTATTCTGCATGGGCAGCTAATCAATACGAACCCACAGAAATAAATAGTACTGGAAGGTACAATGTATGTACGCACAGAAACTTCCAGCCAACACACTGTATGCAGTATTGCTTAGGGATAGAGTCATCTAAATGTATGTTTCTGCACTTATTATTGGATCCTCTTTCTCTTTTTCTTTAGTCTGCTTTTCGCTACAAGTTTAACTTCTATATGTAAAATTCTTATAATATCATGTCACTTAAGAAATAACTACAACAGGTTGAAATACGCTACATCAGATAGACCTATATAGTAAACTGAAAAAATAAAATAGACTACTTGCTACAACATGTTAAAATATGTTGATAGTCAGTATAAGTATGTTATTTATTTATTTGTGGGGGTGGGGTGGGGTGTGGGTGGTGGTAGACATGCATGTGGAGAAGAAAGAAGAGGCACATGCAGATAAGTGAAATGCATGACTACTGTGCGTACAGAGTTGCTGTGGATAATATATCCAAAGGGCAAAGGGTGGGTATTGATCAGAGTTCATGTCTCATAGGGATCTTTCCATGTTATTTGGCAATACGTTGCAATTATTCTTGTCTCCTCCTTCCCCACCTATAACCCTCTTTTGTGACTGTGACTCTTTACAATATTACACATGACAATATAATATATATTTCCCTATTTTTTCCATAAGACTTGCCCGTTTTTTGGTAGTTTTCGTAGAAAGGGCAGCCCGCTGCACTAAGTTTCCGCTATGCGCGAGGTCCGTAAAAAGATCGAATCACAATTACGCAGCCTTACCCTGCATTTTGCAAGAGTTTAACTTATATGACAATGGAATTTGTTACAACATATATTAAGTGGCGCAAAAGATATTTATAGGTAATCCTTATAAAAACTAATAGGAATTTCTAATCTTAAAAATATATCAAATTACCTACAACAGTGTAATTTTCGTAAATATGAAACCTTATTTTCTTTGGTTTGGTAATTTTCTTTTAAAATATGGTGGGAAAAGGATGAGAGTGCAAGGGCGTCAAATCAAATTATGCATTTGGTGGAAACTTATTAGACCACCACATCATTAGGAAGGTGAATTGATAATCAGTTGTTGATATATAATGCCAAATAAAAGCTGATAGCCAGTGCTAAATTGTTTTAATTTGCTAATTGGAAAAGTTTGGTGGGAAATCTTCTTTCACGTAATGAGTGATATAGTGATACTGCTCCAACCAACGAATTGCAAAGGAGCGCAGTGAATAAACCATAATGATCAAATATGTCTATATGAAGAATTTATCAAGAAAAAATAAAGTTTTCCAGTGGAGAAAGAAATATTAGGTTATTTCTTTTCATTTGTTTAAATTTTGATGGATATAATTATTCGATATATGTGCTTATGAGGGATAGTTGCTGAAATTAGTTAAAACTTGTATAAGTTGAATCGAATACCACGTTATAAAAGAAATGGTTATATAAAAGAAGATAGGCACGAGAACGACATAAGAAAGCTGGGAGTCACATGACTTCTTTAATTTCACATTATTATTACGCCAAGTCCGTAGACTGGGTTATGTTTATAAAAATACAGAATCAAGTTTGATAATATTCTAATTAGAAATCTTAATTGGACAAGACGCGCGCTGAAGGAACTTTAGAAAATGATCTTTCCTTAATTGTTTAATTAGTCTACCTGTCACGTATCCTTGATTTTATATATTCCTGCATAAAAGTAATAAACAAACTTAACTAACAAAATTTCTGCACTCATAGCTATTGAAAACCGAATAGATGCTCAACTTTTATAATTACAGGTTCAAAACTTAATATTTTTAAGAAATTAAAGTTTAGTCACTAAAAATTAAAGTTGAAATATATATTAGTTAATTTTGGTTAAGTGAAAAATATATGCATGAATATACAAGTTTTATCTTTATTGGTTTGTTATAAATTACCGAATACGAGTAACTATTTATCGGTTTTAGGTTAGCTGAGAATAATTGTCATTTTGGATTGTATGTTTTCTTAACGATTCAAAAATGTATGCATGGCGAATATTGAATGTTCAATACCGCATCTCTTGATCGTTTAAATGCAATCTTA